TATATATATATATATATATTATATTATAGTATAATATAATATAGTCGTAATTTTTAATTATCCACGGTTATTTAATCTCATAATTTATTAAATGTTATTATATCGATTTTGGAACCAGTACAACTACTATAATTATAGTTTACCAAACACTCAGTTGCTTTTTGTAACAGTTATTTTTTGTAACAGCTGTTTTTTCTTTTAACACAGCTAAAAGTAATTTTTTCAAAATCTACAACAATACCAAACTAAGCCATTATCTCTTATCCAGAATCTATTACAAGCAAAAAACATACCGTTACAAAGATAATTTTGAGAAAAAACTAACCATATTAAGAAATTTTTCGGATTCAAAAGGATGAAATCTGAAAATGCGGTCATAATTACCAATTTTAAAAAATTTTGACTCTAATTTTCTCTCAAATCGTTAATTCAAAAAATTTGAAATTTTGTCAGGAGATAAATATCAAAGAATATAAAATATATTGGTAAAGTCAACTTCAATCAGCACGCAAAAAATTAGAAACAAAAAGCACAAGAAAATAGAGAAAAAATGAGCATTTCAGTATTAGATTTCCGTTTACCTCTCTCCATGTTTAATCTCATGGAATATGGAGACCATCACTGCTAGCTCTGATACTAATGATAAAAAAATATCACCAAGTACATATACAAAAGTGTCTACGGTAGGATCAGATCTCCAATTCGATTCTGATACAAGATTCGTCAACGGGATAGCCTTAGAATACTCCAATTACGAACATAATCCTCATGATTTACATCACGATCTTCCATGATCACAATCATCACCATGTCCTTTGTTATAACACAGCAACCACAAATAATCCACTATTCAAGAACCTATGGAAGACTGGGAGAGGGGGAGGGGGAGAGAGAGAACTGACAGAGTTTTGACATATTTCTGTCGTGCTAGTTTATGTCCTGCTATCTAATTATTTATAGCCACATCTATCATAAAGAGAGCAAAGACAAAATATCGAAACTATCTCTTCAGTTTATTTACTGGAGAGTAAGTTACCCGATTACTTAATCTGTCAATAAATATTTCATAATGTTTTCAAAGAATACTTTCCCAAATAATGTCTCATTAATTTTTTCTAAATAAAATCTGCGCGCGCGTTGATTTTTTGGCTATGCACCATTATAGGTGTCTTAAAATCTAACAGAATGACATGCCGAGTTATAGTGCTTCATCATATGATGAAAAGGATATGTCCACTTTAGGGCCTTGATAATTTCACTACATTATGTAAAAAGTACAATCAAAATGATTGCAAGAAAAGTGGAAAAAGGAGATGGGGTATTGCACAGAGAACATGGAGGAGACAAAGTGAATATTTGGTTCACTGATTCAGAATTATGATTCAGAATCATGATTCAGAACCATTTTCAGTTTATGTATATTTTTTATGAGAGAAAATATTATAACGATTCACGAACCGTTATTAGAATCATGACACGAATCTACCAACTAAACACACCAAAAGCATGTCTGAATATGGGATGACTAATGCATAGTCACCTGCTACATGAAATGGTTTGAGGTTTCCTTGTTTTTCGATTCTTAAATGGATTCGTTGTTGACTAGGGATGAAAATTTCCAATTTGGCCTCCAATTAACTTTCCTTCTAAGTATGTTTTTTATTTGACCTCTTATAAAAATTTCAGACCCGTTCATTTCACCGATTCGAGTCTAGAATTTGAGTTTTATTACAGGAAAAAGCTTTCAGAAACAGTTACATCTAACTTTTTTGCTATAATAAAAATCTCTCACATAAAATCACATCTTCACTCGAATTAAAAACTCGAATCAGTGAACTAAATGGGCCTTCATGTTCACATGTCATGCATGATTCTTCAACACACAACAAATCTAAGAGTATATTTGGTAGGAAAGAAAAGTAGAAGGAAGGAAGAAGGTGGAGGGATTTTGGGAGGAAAAATGAAAATGTATGTTATTTGATAGGAGAGAAAAGAGAAAGGAAGAGAAAATGGAGTGAAAAATAATACATGTAGGCCCCACTATTTTTTTCTTTCCACAAGTGGGCAAAAAATGAGATAGAAAATGGGGACAACTCATTAAAGTGAGTAAAGTTACTAAACTACAATTTTCTCCATCAGCATCCAAGCAAAAAATTTAAGGGTATAAAAGTAATTTACGAGTAAGATTTTTTCTTTCCTCTCAATTTAACTTCTAATACCAAACAAGTGAAGATAAGTTCATTTTCTTTCCATCTTCTCAGACCAAACAACATAAAAAAAAAATTAATTTTCTTTCCATTATTGTTATTTTTCATCACTTTCATATTTTCTTTTCTTCCTACCAAACATAGCATAAATATTTCGCAACAGGGAAAACAATCTTGGTAGTATATTCCAAGAGAAAAAGCAACAAATCCTGATATTTTGCAAAAGAATATTAAAAAAAGAAACAATGCGGATCTAGGACCCATGTGATCACTGTTAGTAATCCAATAATTTCGTCCCTAACAAACTGGCTAATGGACGGCTCTAAAACGGACTTCCATGCATAAGAATACATGTTAAATTATTTTCAAGTACAGAAAGAGACAGCTAATTAATAATACTGCAAAACTAAGTGAAAATCGATTTACATGATATTAATC